ACCTCGATATAATCATGCTAAGTGAAACAAGCCAGACAGAAAACGTTGAAAATCACATAATATCACTTATATGTGGAATATAAACCTAAAAGCAACAAATGAGCAGGACAAACAAACAGAGACTCATGGACATGGACTATAGACTAGTGGTTACTAGTGGAGTGAGGGAGGAAGGGAGAGGTAGACAGAGTAAAGGTGGTCAAATATAGGGGGGTAGGTCAAGGGTTAAATGGGTAAAGGGGACCAAATATATGGTAGCTGAAGGAAACTGGACTTTGGATGGTAAACACACAATAGAATATACAGATGTCAAATTACAATGTACACCTAAAAGTTATATAATTATATTAACCAATGTTACCCCCATAAACTTAATTTAAAAAAAAAAAACACCCAAAACCTAGGTGACTCTTCTCTTTTATGGTGTAGACATGAGACCCAAGGAGTATCAGAGAGGATTTATGTGGTGGTTAAGTCTTGGCATCACAGCCCCGCTTATATTCACTATTTTAAAATTGTATCCTGCCCTCAGCCTTGGCCTGGAATGAGTCTAGGTGGTCACATGGCACCTCTGTATGTCTGCCCTGGTCTCCTTTTAGTAGAACATATTCTGTGCTTAGATATGTTCCAAAAACAGCAACAACAATAAAAAACCCATATCTATGTGACATTACAGGCCAGTTCCCATCTGATTGAGTCTTTTTATGTCTTCGTTCTTATGTTCTAGAGAGAAAGTTTGTCTCAGCCAAGTCTATGAATTTGTTCCTCTGAGTTAGATAACCATTTCTTCTCCAATTAGCTGCAAGTTATTGAGAGTGGGAGACAGAGAAGCAGAAAAGTCTCCTTGGAGACGTGGTACCATGTTGGATACATCAATCTTGATGCTATGGATCTGAGGCCAGGTAGCCATGGTTAGGGTAGAGGTGATCAAAACTTTTGACTTCCAGAAGACCCACTTCTATTCTTGAGGTGATCAATTGTTTGAGTAGTAGTATAGATAAAGGGAGGATAAACTTTTAATTTTCTTGGTGAACTCTCAGGAATTGCCAGACATTTTTGAATGTCTTAGGTATCTGCTTAGTAATTTCTGAGAGATGATCAAGTGGCATGATAATATGTTCATACTAGCTGGCCAAGATGTATCATCTGGAAGGCATTCTTCCACTTGTTACTTGCCTTATGTGATGAGGCTCTAGGCACTGGAAATTGTGGCATCATCAAGCCTCTCATCAATAGATCTGGTTAGCAGGTCTCAAATGGTGACTGCATTGAGGCCCAGTAGTTTTGATAGAGTGACACTCATTCTTTTTCCTTACATTAAAGTTTATGGGCAAGAACTGAAATTACATAGTCAGATGCAACTGACCTCATCCCCTAGTAGAATTAACAAATGATATCATTGTCCCCTTGGTTGGTAGGGCCATCAAGAACATTGCTGAGCAGTATGAGAAGACCTACTGATCACTGCTTACCTCTCTTTAGTCCATGCAAGTAGGTATGTGATATAGTTTCTCTCAAATATAGAGCATAGAAGTAATCTCCAGAGTAGCCTCAGTAGTTTCCAGAATTTCTCTGGGGGTGATGCTAGCAATATGTTGGTTGTGGTATGTTACAATGCTAATAAACAAGGGCTTGGTACTCTAATCCCATTCTTGTTAGCTAAATGGGTAGTGTCATCTGTGGGAATTATAACTTTCAACCCTTGTTCTACCTTCTACCCCAACTCATTCACTCATCTGGGTGATGTAAGACCAAAAAACTGAGAGCCTCAGGGAATTTTGTTCCAATTTCCTTCCCAACCTTCCCAACCTGTGGTTTTCAGGGGTTGAGGATCTAGGTCTGGGGCATCTTTAAGGTGTTCATATATTCTAAGAGAACTATTGGAAATTGTATCCTAAAGTGGCTAAGTTAAATAGACTGAAGCTATGCTACAAAATGCAAATAGGGCTAAATGAGCAGAGGTGTTCAATTCATAAAAGAAGACAGGCTAGACAATGAGAGCAAGCAATACACAGAAAGGGTAGAAGCAAGTAGAAGAAAAGAAATCAGGAGAAAGCCTTTAATCCAGAGTCCACATGCTCATGGAAGCATTTTATTTTGTGTCTATGGCTATTGATGCAGGTTTGCTGGAGTCCAATAAAAGAGCCAAAGCAAAATGAATTTGCAGCTTCAGCATTGTTAGTATCAAGTCTTTTCAATTCTACATATTTATCAACTTGCAAACCTATCTATCCCTCTCGCCCATGCAGTTGTTTCATAAGCCTTGGAGATTCTACCTCTGACACTTCTCAATTGATTTCTGTGGTGTCCAGAGTGACCAACCTATCAAAAATACAAATTTGACTTAAGTACCTTTAATTCCTCCCCATTTCCTACAGGATTAAATACTAATGTCTGAGATATTATGATCTTTCCCCTGCTTATTTCTTCATCTTTATCTCTCACTTTTCCCACCTCTCTAGCCACAATGACTTATTGGTATTTCTTAGAACACGACATTCTATTACATTACTTCATGACTTACTTCCTCTGGATATTGTCTAGAATGTTCTACTTTTATCTGTCTGGCAAATTCCTACTAGTCCTCTAAGTCTGTCTCTCTGAGTTCTTTGACCTACCAAGGCAGATATGAACACCCTTTCTTTATAGATTTCCTCTATTTTAGCACCTACTTCAGTGAATTGCAATGATTTGAAAATCTGTTTTTAGAGAGCATATACCATGTTTAATTAATTTTGTGCCTTCAGAGCCCAACACAGTACCTGACACATAGTAGGGTCTCAAACTATCTTTGAATAAAAGCTTGAGGAACTTGTTAGCTTGTTCATGTTATGGATAATCTTTAGGATCCAAGATTTGATATCTAAAGTATGTGATATTGATTCCTTCATTAATACAACAAGTATTTTTTGAACATCTACCCTAAGTCAGGCATGGGAATACAATGATGAACAAAAATAGTTATGTCCTTTACTGCTCTCAGGGAGTTGAGGATTTATTGGGAGAAACTGTTACTACATTTGTTTGAATTATTAAATAAAATAGAACATATTTTGGATTTGGCCCACGATGTCAGTCTGAGATTTTCCAAAACACAAGGCTTTCTGCAATATGAGGAATATTTTGGGTTTGTATGCTGCAAGTTTGTCTCTAGTCCTTCAGCATAAAAAACCATTTTGATTGATAAACATACAAATTAAAAAACAAATGTAAAATAGTTGAATGTTTTGTTTTAATCTAAGCAAAACTTTGTCTTCAGAAATCTGTGGGATGCATCAGTGACTTTATAGTTTACCAAGTGCTTTTGTATTTATAGTGGTATTTGGTTTTGCTTATAGGAAAACAAAGGAAATATAGAGGGAGCATTCAAGAATCAACAAAACGTTCTTAGACTGGAGGGACTACCTTTAGGCAGCGAGAAATTATCAATATATACCCACGCAAACAAAAGTCTTAGTCCCCCTGCTGAAAGAGAATAAGACACTAACTTCTACGTCAGGCAGTGTGACTGGAGGAATGAAAGAAGCTGCCAGGTCCTGACATTTTGAAAATAGAAAAGGAAAGCAAAAACAAAAAGCATCATAGCTCCTGTGAAACTCAGATAGGAGAAAGTTTGAACAAACCAAATGAGGTTCCTACTATTTTGACATCCCCTGAGGGTCAGATTCTGTTTCCTTTCAGTTGGAGTTAGCTATAAACAAGGACAGACTTGGAGTCAAGGTGACCATGTGATGCACAATCCCTTAGTTATGTCCATTCAAAGGCATTACAATCAGCATTACAGGAGATGGGCATTCTGTTTTAGATGTTGCTTAAGAAAGGGTTTATCTTTCTCGAATTTGGCTAGGCTGTTTTCCCTCCAGGCCCTCAGCTAGAGGTGATAACTAAGAATTGCTGCAGAACAGAGAAGCAACTTTCTTCCTTTTAGGTGGCATGCTGCTGTGGCAGAGACATGTTGCCACAGGGTGAAACTTTAAAACCCTCATTTTGCTATATAAAAAGATAAAAAATAACTAGATATCGTTTATGTTACTTTTCTAGTATAGCCTCTTTTCAAATAGTTCCAGAAATATGCATGATAGTTTATCATGCCAAATGTTAATAAAATCATGCTTATTTGGCAGAATTTTTTAATGTTTGTTATAATAAACTAACACATATTTTTGGAACTATTTGCAAATATCTAACCACCATGCTGTATAATTGAAACTAATATAATATTGAATGTCAACTGTATTTGAAGAATAAACTATTAAAACATTCTTATAAAATTAGTTCATTCTTTATGTGTCGATTACTAATTAAAATGTTTAAGAAAATAAATAAAGCACAAGGCAAAGTAAAGTTACAATTTCAGCTTGAGTCCAAAGTAGTTAACAATCTCCTAATGAAGCTAAAATTATTTTGCTTAATTAGGAGCTTTAAAAAATCAAGTTTTATAAAAGTTATAGCATTATGTAACAATTAGTCTACTAATACCGCCCCCTCCTTCTGAAGGTCTCAGAGAAAAACAAGTTTTTCTTGATCATCTTTTAAAAATAAAAATTGTAGACCAGTTAAAGTTTTCAAGGTTCCTGCTGCGATTTAGGAAAGGAAGGTGATGGGGAGGGGATATATCTCTTCCAAGTTCTAAACAGAAACCTTCTTTGGAAGACTTAGTTTTCCAGAAAAAGAGTTTGGGCTTTGGCCTTAGACCCCTCTGGAGCCATTGCCTTGTCCATTTAAATGCAACCCCAGGGAGGCTAGTACACTGATGTATTTCATCTACAAACTTTGGTGTAAAATAACTGAGTACAAAACATTGGGTTCGCTATCTCAACTGCAGCAAATATCTATGTACGAATGGGCAATGCTTTTCTCAAAACTGGATTCTGTCCATATCCTGAATTAACTTTACCACTGTAGCTAGGTTGCTTGTTTTTGATAGGTAGAGTTGCAATTGTGATGAGGGAAGGGAATTCTTGCACTAGTGAGGTAACCACGCAAAGTAACCAGTGGACTTATTCTGGCTCCCTAAAGGGAAGCAGGTCATTCCCACTTCCCGTAACCAGATCATCTCCACTTCCAGGAATTGGATCATCCCTACTCCCTGAAATTGGGAGTGGATCATCTCCACACTCTGCTGAAGAAGGAAGGCAGTCATTGCTAATCTCTCTGCCACCTGCGACTCTGGACTTGATTGTCCCCATCAGACCTTCAAAGGATCGGAATGCGGCTGACTGCTTCATGTCTCCAAGCTTCCTACAGATGGCAGAGCTCATGGTGGACAGGGCAGCTGACATCTTTTGTCTCATGTAGGCGTTGGGGACCTGAACATCATGCCAGCTCTTTGACAGATTCTGCTGCAGGCCCACCAAGGCCGTGAGGCCCAGCTTCCTCTTGAGCTCCACGCAGCGTCTTTTTTTGGCTGCCAGTGCGTGGTGTAGGGTCACAATTTCTGCCTCCAATTTAGTGAGCTCAGATTTGAGCTCCTTTTGCTCAGCCTCTGTGAGATCCTGTGGTTCGGCAGCTGGGTAGGGTTCATGTGTGCTCACAGAGGTCTCTGTCATGACACCTGGCATGGACTGAGAAAGATCTTCGTTAAGAGAGTCCAGGTCCAATTCTTGGTAGAGAGAGTCGAACTCGTGGCCAGTGGAGAAATAATCTTGGCTAGGAAAGCTGAAATCTAGGCCTGCAGGGTCAGACTCTAGGCTGGAGGGATCCATATCTTGGCGGGTGGAATCAACGCCACTGCATATGGATCGATATCCTGGTGTATGCACCGGACTGCCTGGCCCCACGAGATCTACTTCCGGGTTAAGGGTGAGGGTCAGAGGTCAGGGTCACAGAGGTGGGATTTTTCGGCCTGAAGGCTACAATGGGCGGGACTGGGCTCAGGCTTCCTGCTGCGCATGCTAATAGTGGTGTTTCGACATCACAGCGAGCCTGTGAGGTAAGCCGTGCTATTATTATTAGAGAGGAGAGATATTTTCTCTCCTGCCACAGTCTGACTCCCCTTACAGACCTCTTTCTACCACACCAGCCATTTTCAAACCCTTCAAAATCAGTTGAACTCTTTGTACTGACAGAAACTTATGAAAAAGCCCAATACATAAAATAAATAACAACTTCTCCAAAGTGGGGCAGAGGAATCTAGAATGCCTGGCCTCATACCCTACTCATTTTCCCTTTCTAGGTTCCCAGAGGGATCCTGAGAAACTCCTAGCACCCCTCGTAAAGTGGATTTGAAGGCCCCTCGGAACTCTTGAGTCCAATAGTGACTAACATGCTCCCAGGGCATGAATTATCAACAGTGCCAGAGGCTTGGAATAGCAGAACTCAAAAAGTGAGTCAGACCAGTCACAACTGTCTGTTGTTTTGGTGGGGAGAAGGAGGAAGAATGAGTAAATCTGTAATAGTGTGTCAAATTTAAGCTTAATAAATAAGTAAAGACTATTGTACTGTGAGAATTTAGGAGAGAAGGAATAAGACATGCAAATGGACAGTGCATGAGTTTTCAATATTGCAGTTGCATCTTCTTTCTTTTCTAAGCATTCACTCACATTTCTGAAAGCATGTTTGCCTCCATACATGGTTATCAGTTGTGGGAGGTAGTCTGGACAGTAAAGTAGAAGAAATTGGATAGGGTCTGTCAGGATATCAACCCACTATATCCCCTCTTTCTGCTCAGAGCTTGAAATTTATACAGTGGAAAAATCAGGACTTCAATCCAGTGAAGGCAGGTGATCAGGGATCCCATAGCTGATTATGTGGCTGTGGATTCTCAGGGAATAACCTTGAGCAAGTCTTAAGATTCTAGAGCTTTCGTTGGATATTCTGGTAATTCTTGGCACAGGGTTTAGAACCAGCAAAATGTGGGAGACAAAGCAATTTATATGTTTTATAAATAAATTATTAAAACTTGAATGTATAAAACAAAGCCATACCGTTCACCACATCTGGGTTGTTTGGTAATGAAAGAAGTGAGATTGTAGTTAATTGATACATGGGTCTAGAAATAATTAGGGACTTGTACCAGTACCAGCAGCTTTAACCATTTGACTTCTTTTGTTATAAAAGATTGATATGGAGCTTCTTGATTACATCAATTTATAAAAATAATCCACATTGGTGGTTGCCACTGCTTCTGAAAAACTGACAATTTGCCCTGTAGTCTGGTCATTTGCACTGCTAGATTTAACTGTAGTGAGTTCTCTAGGTCTTTATTTCTATTATTACAGAACTACTACCATGAACATTTTGTTTAGTTTAGCTGAATAGCATGAAAAATGTTTAAATATTTAATTGAGTCTGTAAATAAGGCATGTAGTTGAAACCCTAATTCAGTAAGAATGTTTCAGGAGTAGGCGGGGAAAATTGGTAGTTGGGTTTTTCTTGCAGAAAGCCAGGATATTTTATTTGATTTCAGTTTGCAAGTTATTTTCACAACAATTTTACATCATAGCTCAGCTCTATCATTAATATATGCAGTGAGTCACCCTCCCCATAGATATTCTTCAGCATGAACTGGAATATTTGCAGCAGTTTACAGCTGCAAGTGTTATTGCTAGCAATCCTCATATTTCAAAAGTTGAGTTCATCTTCATTTAGGACCTAGATGACATTTCCTTTCAGCATCTCTTTTATGTGTACTAATTAGCTTTAAAAAAATACTTAGATATATTATGGAATAGGATTTTCTTGTCTGAAGTCCAAACATACTATCAGGATATTAACTCTGAACTTATTAGTAACTGGTTTTCACTCTCTTTGGTGGTGTATATAATTGTAGTAAGAGTCCCTGGGGCAATTAGCACCCCGTCCCCACAGATGTCCATTTGTATGAGTTAATATGTACAGGATGAAGGGGCTTGTTAGAAGGAATTTTGTGTATAGATCCTCAGAGGTAGAAGAAGAATGATAGACATGAAGGGATGGAAAGAAGGGAAAGGAAAATGATCAAAAGATGTAGGAACTTCTCTAGATTAAAAATGAAGATTATTCTTATTGGAAACATGAAAGCTGCATATAAAAATGCCTGTAAAGGGTTGAAAGGGCTTCTTAAACACTATTTTGTTCCAGAGAATGGACTTCCTTTGATGCTTGCAAAAACACTCGTGGTTGCAGAAATTCTCCCAGACTTTGAACCAGAAACTGCCTTCTTAATGCTGAAGATGAAGGGCAAGGAAGCCCATGGACAACATTTTAAAGCCCATTGCCCTCTGTTTAGGGCAATATGAGCAGACTTTAGGAAGAATTTCACAGTGGAAGATGTTCTCATTCCCTTTTTTTTTCATTTGGATCAGGAAAGTGGGAACAAATTCTCTCTTCCCAGAACTTTTGACCTTTGTTTTCTTTTTATATTTTGGAAGCGAGAATGTTGGAAGATAAGTCCTATGGGCAACAGTGGGGAGTCATTTAAGAGAAGAAAGTGTCCAAAGCTGGCACATGAGCCAGTAAAGGCTTGGTTGGTTATGGGGTGATGGATATAGGGCATCTGTTCTGCCAAGAAACTGAGGGCTTGCCTTGTTTCTCTAGTCAGGATCTGGAAATTCAGAGGATATCTTAAAAGGGAACAGGGGGTTGCAAAAAGACAAGATTAACTCTTGCTTCTCATTATCACCTCCCCCAACCAACACACTTCCTGAATCACATGCAATTCCAACAAAGGTATAGACTGCTGCTAAAATGTCTGCAGGGGACCCAGATTACTTGACCCTTAACTAAGCAGGAAAATTTATCTGGAGAATGTTCAAATTTTGAGTATTAGGAGATACACCTTTCCTCAAGTGCTTGGGCACAAAGTGGACATCTACAGAGAGTACAGAGCAGAAGCACATGGAAGGGCTGGTCTTGAGCACAGAGGACTCCCAGAAGTAACTGGGGAAACTTGAATGTGTGCGTGCTGAAGTCCTGAAGCTTGGCACAGGGTTTAGAACCAGTAAAATGCGGGGGACAAAGCAATTTAACTCACTTATGTCCATAAGATGCAGAGGTCGGGGGACAATCAGACTATTAATAGAAAATTCACGATCATTTAAAGGTTATGACCATTGTGGTGGATTTGGTTTAATATGAAAAACCTGAGGCCTGGACTCTACTCCCTCGTTACATAGCTATTCTTGTCTAAAAACTGTCATGCCTGCTATTGCAACAGCATAATTACTTTATTTCCTAGATTCTGAGACACAATCAATTGTAAGACACATTTTTTGTTTTAATAAAAGGTTTCTAGGAGGAAAAACCTACTATATTAAATTGTTCATTGATTTTAAGATGCAACCCTAATTTTAGAGGCATTAAAATGCCACAGAACTATGCATTTTAGAATTAAAGAAATACAGTGGTAATACAGCAAGCTACAAACAGTTATGGTTCTGCTTGATTCTTCTATTGGAATTCAGAATGGACCTTCATTTACATTGTTTTTTCTTTCTGAATGAAAGGTTAGAGGGAAATTAGAATTTATTAAATATCTGATACAATAATAAAAATAATGAAGATTTCTAATATTTATTGACCGTTTATTATGTGCCGGGAATTGTTCTAAGTGCTTTCTTTTCACATATTATTTTATTTAATCGTCATAATAATCTTGAAAAGTAGGTATTAAAAACACTATTAATCTCTGAGAGACTCAGTTTCCCCATTTTTGAAGGTCAGGAAACTGAGATGCACAGAAAATAACTTGTTCGAGTTCGCATAGTTATTAAGTAGCAAACTTGGGATATCAATCCATAAACTTAAGCTTGCTTAGATTCTTTTTAAACTCTTTTTTTTACTTTTTATTCTCTTAAAAATTCTGAAATAAATCATGTATACAAAAGTTTATATATGTACTTTAAAATTATGAATATGTACTCACTATTCAACTAAGAAATAGTATGTTTCTAATGTTTTTGAAGCTCACTACATGTCCTCTCATTTTCTTTCCCCTACTTAACCTCTACTCCAAATTTTGGGTAGGTCATTCCTTTTTTTCTTTGTAAGTTTTTAACACCTATCTATGTATCTATAAATAATGTATTATTTAGTTTTGCCTTTTTTTGGGCTATTAAATTTATTTTAATTGAGGCTAAATTGACATAACATATTAGTTTTAGGTGAACAACATAATGATTCAATATCTGTATATATTGTGAAATGATCACCATAATAAGTCTAGTTAAAATCTGTTACCATTTTTGAACTTTGTATACAAGGAATCATATCTTCCATATTCTTCTGTGGCTTGTCCATTGTTTTTAGGATTCATCCATAGTGGTGGTATTGCTAGTTTATTCATTTTCACTGTTGTATAGTAGTCCATGATATGCATATACCACAACATATTTATATATTCTGTTTATGCAAATTGTTTACTGAGACACTGAGTGATTTGAATGTCAATTTCTTGGTCAGTACCACCCCAGGCTTCAGGCCTGTCTAAGGTCTATTTCTGCACATATGCTTAATGTTTTCTTTATGACTTCATATTTATTTATAATAGACTTTTCCTTCCTGAAATATATCCTGAAACATATTTGAGGCATCATCTCTCCAGCCTTACTTCTTCCCACCATACGCTTTATACTTCAGGCATATTAAATTACTGCAGTTTTGAAGCTGCAAGTTCACCATGCTCTTTTACCTCTAGGCCTTTGCCCATATTTCTCTTTCTGCTTGGAATGCTTATTTCCTAGCTAACTCTTGTCTACCTATCAGCAGTCATCTAGTTACAAAAGCC